AGTGAGTATGGTTTTACGCCGCTTTTAGCAATATTCCAGCAATATCACGGCGGGGGACACCAGAAATGGGCTTCACACGTTGTACCCATGTCGGGAATCGAACCCGGGTCTTCGGCGTGACGGGGGGCACGGGTGGCCCAGTCGTCTAAGGCGCCGCGATTCGCTGTGCAGAGTTGCGTCCCTTGGGCACGCCAGAAACCTATGATTGTGCGTTCGAATCCCGGTTCGCCCCGATCATGTTTCTAGGTTTGTCAGCACCATACCCGTGCTCGTGGGTTTCACCGAAGTGGTAAACGTCTGAGACCTGCATCACTTCGGGCTTTCCTCCCACATTAAGCTGACACGCCGTGATATAACTGAAATACTGTTAAAAGCGGCGTGAAACCCAACTCACACACTCACTCACTCTTCGGCGTGACGAGCGAACGCTTTAACCACTAGGCTACCCGACCGCCCATTTTTGAAGGGCTTTGGAAATGATAGCTGAAGGCATTGTGAGAATTAAGGTTTAGGCGAATCCGTTGTCTCCAACTCCTGGGGACCAGAGAAATTTTGTTTGTTTGTTTGTTGTTTAACGCTGCAATCGGCAATATTCCAGCTATATGACGGCGGTCCTTAAATAATCGAGTCTGGACCAGACAATCCAGTGATTTACATCATGCATCCATGCAATTGGGATACGATGACATGTATCAACCAAGTAAGCGAGCCTCCAACGACAAGCATAGTAGCCCATGTGTTCGGCTTACCAAGGTGCGTTTTAACTTACTTTAAACAACCCGATTTTGTAGTGCTAGCCTACTGAGATACCATGCCGCAGTTTAACATGAATATCACACCCAGATACAGTATACTGACTCCGAGCCGACCAGCCCTTGTTCTACCCCCTTAACGCCGAGCGCCAGTCAGGGTAACAACAAGTACCATCGTTTAACGTCTTTTGGTTTGACGCGGCTGGGGGTTGAACTCACGACCTTCCGTTCTCCGGGCGGATGCTCCATCCTATATGCAACTGAAGATGTCTTTGGAACATTTTGGCTCTTACGTGTCACAAGATAGATGAAGTTAAGTGGCGGTGGGATAGTACAGTGGTTAAAGTGTCAGTTCGGTACGCCGCTACCTCTGTTTCATTCCCACGTTGGTAAAACGTGGGATGTTGTGCATGTTCTTCCATAATTGGAACTCCGGGCTGGAATTGGTCGCAAGCAGCTAATCCTGGTGAGTTAATGGATTATTTGGTCAGTCTCGGTTGATTCCGATCATCGTATCCCGATGGTGTGGTTCGTTTTTTTCACACAAATCTGTGATGATTTGGTTATTATCCTGTCCGTTGTCGGCAGGACTGATAATTTATTATTATTAATCATAATGTTTAACTTGCATTGGTCACGATATGGCTCAAATACTCCCGAAGTTAGTACTAAAATCGTAACTCTCTCACTCGCTCGTAATATCAATCACTGGATTTTTTGATGCAGACTCGAATATTTATAGGCCGCCATGATATAGATTGAATATTGCTGAGTGCGGCTTTCAACAACATACAAACATTTATGTTCATCCATTCAAGTACCAATCATAGTCGGAAAGCATAATTTTATCTCAATTCCCATGTACACAATACTACTTCACGAGTTATTAACAGTTTTATAGATAGACCCGTGAAGATCCGGGGTAGTATAGGTCTTCCAACCCATGCTTGCCATAAAAGGCGACTATGCTTGTCGTAAAAGGCGACTAAGGGGATCGGGTGGTCCGGCTCGCTGACTTGGTTGATACATGTCATCGATCCCAATTGCGTAGATCGATGCTCATGACATCAATCACTGGATTGTCCGGCCCAGTCTCGATTTATTTACAGACCCCCGTCATATAGCTGGAATATTGCTGAGTGCGGCGTTAAACAACCAACCAACCAACAGTTTTATAAGAGTCCACACTAAAACAATATGCTATTGTACGTATACAACTGATATGTGTGTATATACATGTATGTGTATGGCTTATCCCAGTAATGAGACAGTAACCAGTAAACAGGAGCACGCAGAATTTCTCTTTTCTATTTTCTGGGATAAACAGATCGATAGAAATAAATACATATTGTATCGATGTTTACCAATTCCACCCACGTGTACTTTCAGTACCCATGTAATGAGATGGTAAACAGTAAACAGGAGCACGCCGAATTTCTCATAAACATATGAAGGACATGTTCTATTTTCTGGGGTAAACAGATCGATAAAAATAAATACATATCATATTGATGTTTAGCAAATCCACTCACGTGTACTCTCAGTTCCTGTAAGCGCTAATCCATAGAAATATTGACATCTAACTACCATTCTTTGTCTAGTGGTATTCGACCCAGACGCAAAGCAATAAGCCCTGCTTATCTCAGTCTTCAAACGGTGTTTCTCGCTGCAATATATCCTTACAATAAGGATGGACACAAGCGTTGTCTGAATAGAGATCTTATGATGATTAGGATGTCTGGTCAGCCGTGAGCCTACTTAGAAAGATATGTATCATGGAACTGTCCAATACGTTTCTTATTAAGGGTTTGTTTATCAGAACCAGTGTACCAATTGATGTGTAGAATGTTTCGGAAGAACCTATTGCAGTCTGCCTCCTCGGCAATGTTTCATGTATTTGTTCCTCTGATGTCAGACAAACCCGTGGTCAAAAGTGTAAGCAACGCTATACACCATTTGTACCAATTGATGTGTAAAATGTTTCGGAAGAACCTATTGAAATCTGTGTCGTCGGCAATGTTTCATGTATTTGTTCCTCTGATGTCAGACAAACCCATGGTCAAAAGTGTAAGCAACGCTATACACCATTTGTACCAATTGATGTGTAAAATGTTTCAGAAGAACCTATTGCAATCTGCGTCGTCGGCAATGTTTCATGTATTTGTTCCTCTGATGTCAGACAAACCCGTGGTCAAAAGTGTAAGCAACGATATACACCATCAGTGTAAGGTGAATTGAGGTGAATAGGGTTTAACATCGCGTTGAAGAATATTGCACGTATACAATGACATGCGTGTGTGTGTCACCTTGTAGTCTGGGTTTATCTCGGTGGTTTAATGGTGCTAGCCTACTAAGATGGCATGCCGCAGTTTTAACATGGATTCTCTACTCAGACACAGTATACTCACTGTGAGCCGACCATTCATTGTTTTATCCCTTTAATGTCGAGCATCAGGCAGGGTAACGACAAGTACCATCTTATAAGGTATTTTGGTGTGACGCGGCCAGGGATCGAATCAACGACATTTCACTGTGTATGGGACAACAAGGAAAGAATAGCTTGAAGAATCAGTTTTCCCTACTTTGCTGCCAGTGCCGACGAAAACAACAAAGAAAAGTTGGTTACCGTGTGTGATTTAGCTGATTATGAGTCACCGTCACAAGCGTGGGGCGTTCCTCAAGCTACATTTAGTACGCACTGATTAACATATGGATAATATTTGTCGCAAAGCACCGCGATGTCACTGTTGATCATTTCACAGATTACAGTTTGTGTATTATTCATAAACGGGACGCATTGTGACCAACCGATCAATAATTTAGCAGTACTGAATTCTAGGGCATTTGCTGTTCTAGAATCCCAATTAACATATATGTGTATGAAGTGTCATTGACATTTGTCATGATTAACACATTTTCATTACAACTTCAAATAACGTATGTTTGCAAAAGACATGAAGAGCAATTGGTATTTGTAAACTGACATTTATTGTCGCTTTATGGATATTCTGGATAAAAAGATCGGTCCCCATCAGCTAATGCTTGTTTTATAAGGCGACTCAGTGTATTGGGACAGGTTCGCTGACTTGGTTGATTACAACATATCATCGCAGCTTATTTGTGTGGATCGATACTCATCATGTCAGTCACTGGATTGTCTGGTCCAGACTCGTCTACTTTCAGACCACCGTTATACAGCCGGAATATTGTTGAGTGCCGCGTTAAACAACAAACAAACAACGTCTCCCAGAGGCAACAGACCCGTGAAGATCCGGGGTAGAATAGGTCTTCAGCAACCCATGCTTGCCGTAAAAGGCGACTATGCTTGTCGTAAAATGCGACTAACAGGATCGGTGATGAGGCTCGCTGATTTGGTTGATGCATGTCATTGATCGCAATTGCGTGGATCGATGCTCATGATATTAATCACTGGATTGTCTGGTCCAGTCTCGATTATTTACAGACCGCCGTCATATAGCTGGAATATTGCTGAGTGCGGCGTTAAACAACAAACCAACCAACCAACCCGGAGGCAACAGTGTCAACGAGCCTATATGAAGGCCTAGGTTCCATTAGATTTCAATACAAACTTGTGGACGCGCTTGCCTCAGGATGATGGTCAGGCAAAAGAGAGCGTACACTTAAAAATGTGATGTGACCAAACAATTACAAACGTTATCAAAACGTAGCTAGGCCGAAACCCTGCAAAGGTATGGTCCAAAACAGAACTTTCACACACGTATGAAATACATCACCATCGACTGACCATTTCACCGCCCAGCAGTGTATTACATCTTCAGTACTTCATAAGCCTCATCCACTGATAAACTATTGTCATGTACAAGTTAACACATACACACAAAATGATAAGTGACAACTGTTCTGAAGGCACATGCATATAGACTCCCCACTGAGTATCTAACCCAACATTCGTCGCGATATGGCTGAAATACTGCTGATGTAACGTTAAATTTTACTCACTCACTCTAACCCGACATAACAAGTAAATACTAATACAACCAATACAATCAGAACTTGCGTAAACATTGATTTCAAACGGTAATTCAGTTGCCAAAAATAAGTACAACAGTAGGCACTTAATTTTCAATATTGTCAACATGCGATTACAAGCAAAACATAACGTTCAGCCCACACTCTACCTCCATCGTCAACTTGCGTCATATTGGACTGCGCTAACGTATAACGTGTAGCAGCCGCTAGTGTCTTGCCTATCAACCATCACTCTGCAACAGTCCTGGCAGTCGCTGAGCTATCTCAGCGTCAGCGGTGCACCTCATTACGTCCAGCACTACGGTTGGAAGAGTTAGTGTACCAAGTCTCCAGTACATCAGCACGCTCTCTCCGGCCATTCCTTGAAGCTTATTCAGTTGGAATGGAGTAGCCTAAGCGTTAGGAAACGCCAAAGGGACTTATGTTACAACTAGCCCCCCGACCAAGACCTGTGACGATGTGTTGACGGTTTCACGTGTACATTTTACCAGTGCTTTAATGTAAAAAGTACCATGATTAAGTGCAATGTTCAATTTGCTTCACCCGTGATTTGTTGCTTGACAAAAAATGTTCATGGACACTTGATACCAACTTGGAAATAATCAGGATTACGCCCATTGGAATGGTATGGTGTTTGTGCTTCCAATCTTCATTAATTATTGTTAGTTTGCTTATATGGTATCATACGACATACGATGGATTGGTTTATAAAGTGGCGTTGTTGCTAAACGGCATGGGACCCGTGAAGATCCGGGGAAGAATAGGTCTTCAGCAACCAATGCTTGCCGTAAAAGGCGACTATGCTTGTCGTAAGAGGTGACTAACGGGATCGGGTGGTCAGGCTCGCTGACTTGGTTAATGCATGTCATCGATCCTAATTGCGCGGATCAATGTTCATGATGTCAATCACTGGATTGTCTGGTCCAGACTCGATTATTTACAGACCGCCGTCATATAGCTGGAATATTGCTGAGTGTGGCGTAAAACAACAACCAAACCAATCAATCAACGGCATGGATGAATAATCACATCAATCACTGGCTTGTCTGATCCAGACTCGATTGTGTAAATAGCCATGGCTATATGGCAGTGGTATTGCTATACAAAATCAAACTTACTTTTTAATGAAACTGTGAGAGTGGCGGATGATATCGGTAAAGCAGGGCATGCTTACCCACCGAGCTCCTGGTTTCATCATTAACTTTTATTCATATAATGTTCATCACTATTTTGTCTAAACGCCCTATGGAATCTGTTTCGGCAGATATTCGAGACTGATTATTCTCTGGCTATGACTTTTTGAATGATGCGAGAGGTGAATTAACACGCTCAAAGGGTTGATATATATTCTAATCACAGTTTCATTATATTTTGTGTCAGCAAATTATTCATCTCTTGTAATTATTGATTTAGGGGAGGTGGAATAGCCTTGGTTGGAACCGAAGACCAGGGCCCCGCTCCACAAGGCGATCTTAGCGTTAAGACGTTAACTCCTATATTTTGACATGAACTTAGCGTAGCGCAAAGACGCAGCTCAAAGGCGCACTGACACAAAGCGACCTTAGCTGTACGATGATCGTAACTCACATACTTTAGCAAAGACTTCGTAGCGGTAAGATCGCTTTGAGCAAGTGGGCTCTTGTTTTCATTCCCCACATGGGTACACTCAAAGACGCCAATTCTTTGTGAAACCAGTTGTGATAAGACTGTGGCAATGGTATACGGAGCGTAAACCCATACTCACTCAACTCACTAAGATTAAACTCTTATACTCGGAAACGAAATTTGTGTGTGAGTTTGTGAGTGAAAAATGTTTTCTGTCTTATTCATCAATTATTCATGATAAGCCAACAGTGTGAACCAGCTGGACCAGGATTCTCGCGACTTGTAATTTTTTCAGACATAACCTATTTCCATGTGGTCTAAATATTGCCTTACTCCAACACGGTGTCTACCTAGTCGCCCATTGTAGTGATTCCTTATCACTTGCATCGAAAGTCATACGTTCAATATGTTTTTAAGATTTAAATAAGCTGCACGACGCAGAAATCACTTCACGCTCACATCCCACAAAAGTACCATTCTTAACAGTGTGGTTTCTGATGTTACTCGACCCGTGAAGATCCGGGAGAGAATAGGTCTTCAGCAACCCATGCTTGCCGTAAAAGGTGACTATGCTTGTCTTAAGAGGTGACTAACGGGATCGGGTGGTCAGGCTCGTGGACTTGGTTGATGCATGTCATCGTATGAATGAAGTTATATCAAATTATCAAATTCAAGCGACATCAACCAAAAGAAACTAGAAATGGTCAGCATGCATTTTACACATGTGCGGAATCAAACCCGGGCATTTGACGAGGGACGCAAAGTAACCCCTGAGCTACCCAGTCGCATATGAGCTGTAAATTCTTATGGCCAAACATAATCACCATTGACTATTGATGCTGTCTTTTTGGTCGTTTGAAGTGTACCGAGGTATCTTTCTCAAGGCATTGTCTGGAATGAAAAAAAGGATCTGTATGCACCGATGTTTTTACGCTGTGATATCTCATTTGAGTTTATATAGTGATTTCTTTGTCAAAACAGACACTAACTATACAAAGCATTACCGGTATTTACTTAACATAAGATATTGTGACATCAAAGTTTCAATCCACAATTTCCGCTTGGTGTAAATTCGTAATAAACTCTTCGTAAAATAGGAAATGGCTTTCTTCAGAGATTTTGTATAGTATCTTAAGCTTACAACAATGGTCTTAAAACGAATATATTTTGTTATTGGTGTAGCTTTGCGTCTTCAGAGTGGTTTACAATAAATAACATACTATATTATTCATCCCCACTTAACGCAATTGCTACTCGAAGAGCTGTCTACCATAGGGACTGTGATCTGTCTTTGTAGTTAATGTATCTCACTTAAACATCCATTTAGAACTGCATAAATTAACATTCTTGTGTAAAAACTGGTACTCGTTCTACTGAACTAGCTAAGTGCTCCACGAAAATGTGTTTCATTTGCAGTTGTCAACAACAGACGTTACTTACAACACAAACGCCAAGTGCTGACGTAGGCACACAACTTCACGCTGCCTGCTTTCTCAGCACTGGTTCCTTCACAATGGAAGAGCTGTTGGGCCATAGCGTCTTGAAGAATTGTCTAATTTCTCCGTCTACCGCAGCCTGTCTGTAAGTAAGGAGAGTTGAGCCTACCGACGACAAGTTTGAGACATTCAGTGACGGATGTGGTCCTCAACCAAATGGAAAATGTGTGTACAAAGTCAGTTCTTGTCTCTTATGTTGATCTTCTATGACTTGTCTCAAGAACAGAGAGGTTTGCGCGTCAGTCGTGGCCAATGAAAGCAGAATAATGTTCATTTGGGCAAAATAATATCAAGCCCTCGGTTGAATACAATCTTGTATTGACAGTTTAAAGGTTCACTCGACGACGGACATCTTTAAGAAGCCGGTTTGTGTTAATGAGAATTCCATTTGTGTCGACATATAATAGCTGTGAGCTATTATTGGTCTCAGGATTGGATGACACCGTGGCTTTAGTTTGCGATCAGTTATCCCATGGTTAACTGTGATATACAGCTGTAATAACCCCGATGTCACACCAAGCAATAAACCAAGGTAATTTGTGCAGTAGAATTGTGTATCTCCACTGGTGTGTAAATCTTTTTTCTAGGAAGCCAATTCAGATAGATACTTAACGTGTTCACATTGTAAAGAGTATTTACGATGTCTGTGATCGGTAGTGTGTCCGTTGTGCTCAACTTCAGCAACGTCAGTGACGTCGTTGTCAATAACTTCTCCCTCCAAGACTACATCCTCACCAACCTTGGCTCGAAAAACATGGGCAGCACAGCCGGCGTCCTACTCACCATCATCTACAGCCTCATCTTCATCTCTGGCACCATCGGCAACGTCTGCACCTGCATCGTCATCGCCCGTAACTCCTACATGCAGACGACGACGAACTACTACCTCTTCAGCCTGGCTGTGTCAGACCTCCTGCTGTTGCTGTTTGGTGAGTTAGCTGTTTACGTTTTTTCTGCTCTTTTACGTGATTCAAAGCAATGACTTCATAATCACCTTCCGTGAAGATCCTGGTTTGACTTTTTCTTCAGCAGTCCATGCTTGTCATAGGTGGTGACTAACGGGTGGTCAGGCTCGCCAGGTTTGGTTGATGCATGTCATCGTATCCCAATTGCGAGGATCGATTCTCGTTATGTTAATCAGTAGCCATTGAGTTCGGCGTTAAACAAACAAACAAACTAAACTCCACATTCGCAATTTGATTGTGTCAGTCAAAGTTTCAGAAAGGTGTTAACTGCCTGATTAGAAAGGTCACTTGACGCAACCTCCCATGGAAGCGCCCTCCGAACTTCGTGTAGAGATAGCGTATCGGAGTCAAAGATCTCATTTTAATGAGATTGATACTAGTGTAGCTAGACACAAATGGATGAAACAAAGTTGGACGTGTGCGACACAATGAATGGCACGTCTAGATACTGTACGAAAACGATTACATACCAGTTATTTTGGTATGAAATGCCGGGCATATGAAAGTGTACCCTTGAAAATTGGATTTGACCAAAAATTGCAAAATTCAAAACGTTACTGGGCTGAAAACACTATAAACTTAAGTTTCAAAACACGTGATACCTGTACCCAATACATCACCATCGAATCACCATTTGTTGCTTGTTCTGTTTTAGCCACCCTCAAACATGGATGTATATATTTTCTTTTTTTCCCCGGCTGTTAAGCAAAAAGCTGATCAACTAGGTCTCTTTATCCATTGTAATAAAAACACGCCATCCCTGCCAAGAACAAGAGGTACCGATAGTCTATATCTCTATTGAACGTGTACTGAAGGTTATTATCGGTGACTATCGATATTGCCGTGAATTTGTAATAAATGCCACAACCAACGGCTCAAGCGTCCACTAGTGTGACCTCATTGAGTTGATCTTCGATATCGTAATCAATGGCTGTAAGCTCTATGGCCTCATGTTTTTTTGTCGCAAATCTCCATCATGGCTGAAGGTAACTTCATAGCAATTTCTTTTTTAGAATATTATATCCGGTTTTTTTCTGTTCATTTACTTTTCCACACCACAGGACATTAGTGACTGACCTTTTGATATTCTGTCCCCAAAAACTCCCGAAAAAATTATGCTTCAGATTGTTGAAAATAAAATTGTCTGTCCCCCCCCCCCCCCCCCCCCCCCCCCACACACACACACATAAACACAAACACGCGCACACACTCCGAATAGGGAATGCTTAGCCCTTTCCAGCATATGCGCATGATTTAAGCAGCGGGGGCCTTAAGCTGCAGAGGTTGCAAGTTGTTGCGAAATTAAACATCCTCTCTAAATGCACTGGTGATTCTGAAAGTTGTTTATGTTGCCTTAAATACTTCTTGTCTCTTCTTTTAAAGACTTGTTTATCCTGCCGTTATTGGATAAAGACAACTACAACTCGTATTTCATGTTATTTCACCGTCGCCAATGACTAACGAATAGCGTCGGGACATCTCCTTCCTTTGCCGTGTTGTTTACACCGACGCTCGCTAATCTTTCCCTCCTCACGATTGGACTTCTGAACTGGATAGCTCTACTTTATGAAATTCACTTTCATCGTAGGTCTAGCAGGGGTATTCTTAATGAATAAATCGTAGTTTCGGGAGCATGCTTTGATGAGAAGACTAAGCTATGGGACTCCGTGCTGCTTGGTATCGAGAAGAGCCATCAATCCCATAGACTTAGATACGAGACGGCTCAGGGGGAAACGAAGCATGGGGATCAGACGGAGTGCCACGTGACGCGACTAATGTTTCTGGGATTCCATGTCTCCACATATTGGTGCCGAGATGTTAATTCATGTCTCAGCACGATGTGACCCTCTTGGTCATACTCATTTGGCTTCACATTTGAGTGTTTCAAACTTTTTGGTTGAGAAATGTTGAATGGAGATTGGTTCTGGAGTCCTTTCGTGATAGGTGTACATACATTTCTTGGTGAGAAATCGTCCTTTCGTGATAGGTGTACATACATTTCTTGGTGAGAAATCTATTTTTTTTATCCGTCTCAAATTTGGAAGAAACGGCTTGGCGAAATGGATACCAAAGTACCAGAAAGTAGGGATTCCGTATTAACGAGGGTCCAGACTAACGAGTTTTGTCACTGTAATTATTCAAACACCCACACCTTAAGTGAACCGGTGGGCATGGTTCAAAGGAAGGGCAAGGTTACGGTACAGAAGGTCGCAACTTTCTGCTCCAGACCTTGGATCATAGTACTTATTTTATCCTTTAATATACCCGTGCCTCAAATGAAGGACAAAGTCACGAAACTGTTGCACGAAAACAGTTCTTGGATCATCAATAAAAAAAACTTTCAATTAAGCTGAAGATGATGAATATGTTTAAGCACAAGGTCGGTTGGTTGGTTTGTTGTTTAACGCCGCTCTCAGCAATATTCCAGCTATATGACGGCGGTCTGTAAATAATCGAGTCTGGACCAGACAATCCAGTGATTGATATCATGAGCATCGACCCACGCAATTGGGATCAATGACATGCATCAACCAAGTAAGCGAGCCTGGCCACCCGATCCCGTTAGTCGCCTTTTACGACAAGCATAGTCACCTTTTACGTCAAGCATGTTAGAACGACGTGGTCGATAAATGATGACCTGAACGTGTAGTATCAAACATTAAACAATTGTTATGTACGTGTCACGTTCGTACAGCTATCCGATATGATACGTAATATGACACAAACTGTGTGGGGTTTGGTCGCCAATCGGTTTATGTGTGGGGTCGTCACGCCGAAGAAATGGGTTGAAAATCCGAGCATAGGTCCAATATGTGAAACTCACTTTGTTTCCCACACTTAGGTGTGGCTAGAATATTACACAAAGCGTCCAATATGTTCATACAGATTATCATATGTTCATACAGATTACCATATGTCAATACAGATTATCAAAATATGTGAGAATAAAAGACACGTTGCAAGCTTAATGATTTTCAGCATTTTCCGACAATAACAAATACATGCAAATGTGGAAATGGTTCAATATTTGATTAAAAAGCGTTTCTTAACCGATAAACCTGTCATGTGAAGCCCTTCTGTCAATCGTTGCAATGAGTAATTTCCTCTCCGACAACCATATTTGCAGATGGAAGGCAGACCAATTTGTAACGCAAGACGAGAAACGATTATACACAACAGTTATAATAACTGTGATTGCTGTGTGATTGCCATCATGTCGAAAATTGAAAATTGTACCTTGATGGTTTCCTGAAACAAGTTGTCATCCTGAGTATTGATAAAAGATCAAATTGGTTTGAGTTGGTTTCTTAATGTATGATTTCCAGTGAGATCGGTGTGCGAGTTAGTTGTTAGGCAAGTAATTCAATGCGTTAAGAAATCTATTACTGCTTTTTTTTTATCACATTGAGAGATTACTCAAAATGTAAAAAACACATTAATCGATACACAATGTAATAAAAACGCAGTTAAAGTCGTGCTGTGAAGCAGATTACGAAATCGATGCTCAATCACTTGATTGTCGGGTCCAGACTGGACTTACAGACCGCCGTCATATAGTTGCAATATTGCTGAGTGCAGCGTTAAACAACAAACAACCAAAAAATGTATTGCGAAAAAATACAGTTAACCGAAGATTTGGCCTGCTGAGTCGATTTGCTGACACAGAATTTTGTAGTTTCGATGGAAAGAACTGACAGTCATTTATCATCCAATACCGCCCCGTGGGAGATATTGCTTTCGCTGTGTTAACAAAAACGTCTTGCCATATTATTACTAGACATATCCAGATGTAAATATGATAACGTTGTAAGCGTGTAGCAAAACTAATATTCTCGCCAATTTGTTCTGTGTCAGGAAAACTCTATCTGTTAGAAATGCAGTGAAAATGTCCATGGACCATATCTACCGGTCAGAACATAACTTGTATTCAAAGGATGATCTTGTTCATGGGCCAGTGGTTTTGATTAATACTAACTGATGTATTTCTTGCGTTTTCTTCGAAGGAGATACCACTTTCTTCCCAAACCAGTGATTCCACTGACACTAGGGTTAGACTGTGTTGAAACTAAGTGATTCTGTTGCAACCAGTTTTTAAACTTCAAAGCACATTTCTTGCACGTGGTTTGAATAGTGTGGCGGTACTCGGTACAGTACAGAATTCTTTGGAAGAGGAGCTGTTCGGGAGAGAATGTCCTCGATATGAGAGTCTCATGAACAAGACTTCCTTCGCCATTCGTCACAACTCGCCCCTTTCCGTAACCTCCTACAAGAAGACTCGTCCCCCAATCAGAATGCGCGTATGATTTCAAGTCCTTCGTCAAAGAATTCCTCAGAAATATTTTTTGATTTTACATAATTCTTGCATCTAAAAATATACCCAAGACACAGTTAAATGTGTTCAATCATACTGTATAATTCCGCATGTCCAGATGTGCTTTAAATTGCATCTGAAACATATAATATATGGGGAAATGCATGTGAACCATTACGCAACGAGTTGACAATTGTTTTAGGTATGTCCGTTTGCGCTAAGGACGGAACCCGGTCGCAAAAATGGCCATGATAGGGGCACGAGTCGCTATTCGGCTTGTCCCAGAATAACACGAGTTGGACACGAATGTTCCTTCGCCTCACCACTCCTTTCAAATGCCAGTCATAAGCTATCAGTTGTGCCTTATCCTGTTTACAACATGGATCAAGTTTTAGTTTCGGCTTGCGTGGCTTAAGACAAAAATAACATTGCTGTCAGTTATCCCCAACTATCTACGTTGTTGCATGAGGGGAATGGTCAATAGTTTGAAGAATGCACGTACATGTAAATCTCAACTCAGGGTAGCCTTGTGGTTGAAGCGGTCGCTCGTCATGCCGAATGTTCGATGTGTAAGGCCCATTTCTGAAGGGCCCCGCCTTGATATTGCAGGAATATATCCCCAAACGGCGTAAATCGAAACCCACTCACTCAA